AATTAATTGAATGAAATAATCCGGCCAACGCATTATCTCGTGAAATAATTCTTTCGAGAACATTATCTCGACAGTTTTGCCTAACAAATGTGTTTGATATTTTAAAAAAATAAAAAAATATTATCAAACTACTCATTATTATTAGTAATCGTTACTAAATGATTAGTATCAAATCTAAATCATTAAATATTTATAATAAATAATTATTAGTAATCATGACTAAATCATATTATTATTAAATCATTAAATATCAAATCATTAGATTAATAATAATTATTAAATCATTATTAGTAATATTAGTAATCAAACAATCAAGTTAAATAACAAATTTTATTTGATCGTTAATATAATAGTATATTATATTATATTTTAATGATTTATGAAATTATCTTATATAATTTTTTAATCTAAATTTACTTATTTTTTATTTGTAGAGAAAATGAGCAACAACTTTTTCACGATTGTCCATTATAATGGACATATTATGGAAAATGAGATCGGAGTAGTTTTTCAGTATGAAAAACCAATAAATATGATGTTAAAAAACGACATCACATTTATAGAAATGAAGCATAAGATAGAAAGAAAATTCGAGCTGCAGTTGATGGTTTGAGGTATAGGTTTATGATATGCCCCAACCCAGTCAGATATGCTGCAGTTCCACTTGAAGAAGATGATGATATTGGAACCATGGTTGGATTACATGAGTCAACCAATATAACAGATATTGAGTTATTTGTTGATGTGCGTAACATATGTGATATTCCTGGGTCATCAAGAGGTGTGGCTCAAAATCTATCTGAAATGGCTTTATATAGTCAGTTTGAGGAGCCAACATACAGGTTCCCGAACAGTTTTATGGTACTATTGGAAAGTGTAAATGAAGTGGAAGGGACATCTGCAGCAACAGAGTATGAGACGAGAAACATACCGGAATTGGTTGTTGATATTGATGCTGAAAATCGATGGGGAGAAATTCATGATGATTCAAGCGAAGATGAAGAAACCGAAGAACCCGTTTTGGGCGACGATGAAAATATTTTTGGTAGAGGTGCAATTGATGAAGTTCCGGCACCGTATGAAACTACTCCTCATATGTACGAGATAGATTATGATGTGATGAGGGCACTTGAATTCCCAGACATGCCACATTTACCTCCATACCAAATGACTGAATCATTCGATAATTCTGGTGAATTTTCAGTTGGTGTGCAATTTAGAGGAAAAAATGAAGCTACGCTGGCGATTAAAGAGTACTGCATAAAATGTCATGTTGATGTCCATATTGCAAACTCCAACCAAAAAACCCTATACGCGAAGTGTGTAAAATATGGCCCAGAGTGCAAGTGGAAGATCAGAGTGTCGAAAAATCAAATGCACGATGTTTGGGTCATCACGATGTACAATGGTCCGCACACATGTTTGCGATACTCCATCGAACAAGACCACCAACTATTGGACTCCGATGTAAAATACGAATACGTGAAGGCGATGGTTGAAAGGGATCTAAGGATATCTTGTTCAGTGTTAGTTGTATCTATTCGAAGCCAATTTGGATATCAAGTAAAATATGGAAAGGTGTGGAATGCGAAGATGAAGGCAATGAAGCTGACGTATGGAGATTGGGATACATCGTACAATGAGCTACCACATTTGCTACAAGCAATGAAGCGATTTATCCCAGGAACCATAGTGAAGTCTCAAACCATGCCCGCATATGACGAAGAAGGTCAACTTCTGCCAGGGAAGAAAATATTCCATAGACTATTTTGGGCATTCAAGGCATGTATTGAAGGATTTCCATTTTGCAAACGTATGATCCAAGTAGATGGTACGTGGTTGTATGGTCAATATAGGCATGTACTTTTGATGGCAGTTGCTCAAGATGGTGAGCGAAATATCTTCCCAATTGCATTCGCCATTGTTGAGGGAGAGACAACAGAGGCTTGGGATTTCTTTCTGACCAATCTACGTCAATATGTCGTTCGTGAAGATGGAGTTTGCTTGATATCCGATAGAGGAACAGGTATTTTGGCAGCAATTGAACGACCAGGAAGTTGTTGGATACCACTGTATGCATATCCGGCATTTTGTATCTTTCATATTGGCAAGAATAGTATCGACCAGTTTCATAACGCACACATTCGTAGCGAGATAGTCAGCATGGGTAAGTTTTATTTTCAATATTTGTGCATTTTTACGTGATTTTTTAATTGCGGTTTAACACAATATTTTATGAAACGGGATACGAACTACGTCGACCACATTTTGACAAGACATTGGAGAATTTGAAGGTATTTTACGATGATCAGCGTGTTTGGAAGTGGGCTTCAAAAATACCGCAGGAAAAATGGTTGCAAGCATACGATGAAGGTCGGAGATACGGACATATGACCACAAACCTTGCTGAGGCCATTAATTCGGTACTAAAAGGTACACGCCATCTCCCAATAACGAGTGTGATGAAAGAGATGTACTTTAGATTGGCTAAAGTTTGGTCGGACAAAGGCAAGGAAATTGAGAGTCTCATAAATAGAGGTAAAACTTGGGCTCCTACAGTGGTGGAATCAATGGAAGCAAATGAGTGATTGGCAACATCAATGGTTGTTCATAATTTCGACCGTGTTGGTCATACTTTTTTCGTGTCGTGCATACGCCATAACGTCAGAGGAGAAGACCAAACATTTAGAGTTGACGACACAAATGGTGTGATTGTGGTCGTTTTCAGGCATGTAAATATCCATGTGCTCATGCAGTCGCTGCATGTATGTATGCTGGTGTAAGCGCATACACTTATGTTGATGAATGCTTTCACCTACGTAGGATATTAAATGTCTACAACTATTCGTTCAGATAGATCTCGAATGAATCATATTGGCCCAAAAAGGATCATGATGAATGGCTGTCAAATTCAATGCTTCACAGAAGTCCAAAGGGTCGACCTGAGTCCACTCGTATTCATACCAGTATAGATTTTCATGCTAGAGAGAGTGGTCAAACAAAGAGATGCGGATTATTTAGGGGTGAAGGTCATTCAAAAAACAATTTTCCTAATTTACCAAGATATAGGCCTCATCATTAGTAATCATATATGTATTTCTATGTATTTATCCGGATTTAAATTTTGTAATGATTTATAATTCGAGGACTTGAACAGATTTGAATGGACGTGTGGTTCAATTAACGCCATTTTCGTTACATAACTAATACTCATCTATGGAACACTTGTTTGATTTGTAATAATGATATGATTTAATTTAGTAATGATTTGGTAATCATGATTTAATAATGAATTTATATTTAAAATAATTATTATTATTTAGTAATGATTAATAATAATGAAATTATTATTATTATTTAATGATTTGATAGTAATAATTAGTAATAATGAAATTATTATTAATATTTAATTATTTGATAGTAATGATTATTAATGATTTTAATATTATGATTTAATAATGTTTTAATAATGATTTAGTAATAATCATTATAATAATTATTTAATAATAATTTAATAATGACTAAAATATTTAATGATTTATTGATTTAGTAATGATTTGATAATAATCATTATAATAATATTTAGTAATAATCATTATAATAATGATTCAATAATGATTTAATAATAATTTAGTAATAATCATTATAATAATAATCCAATAATGATTTAATAATGATTAAAATATTTAATGATTTGATGATTTAGTAATGACTTGATAATAATTATTATAGTAATATTTAGTAATAATCATTATAATAATGGTTCAATAATGATTTTAATATTTAATGATTTAATGATTTAGTAATGATTTGATAATAATAATTATAATAATGATTTAGAGTAGGATATTATTATTACTATACGGGTATTTGAGTGTTTATTATTAAATATTTGAGAATCTTTAGAATAAATACTATCTTGTAATCACTCCAGATTAATTAAAAAATTTCAACTCGACTTTATAGGTTTACGAGTAACACGATAATTTTTTTAATATTTCTAGAATGTTGATTGCCTTTTGAGATTAGTTATGCATCGTTAATTTTTTTTCTTCAAAATTTGTTGTAATATGTTAGGTTGATGCATTTGTGAATTGTTACTTTAATTGTAATATGTTAGTTTATTGTATTTGTGATTGTGAATGGTTACTTTGCAGTTTATATTTTGAAAATTTTTCACATACTATTTTGATAACTTTTTTTTTATTAATTTTAATAATTTATGTTAAGCTTTATATAATTTTAATAGATTTTAGATATATTTTTAAAAATAAGATAAAAATTTTAGCGAGTAAAGAGAAAGAGTCAAGTCGAAACAAGTCAAAACAATTTTCAAATCAAGTTGAACAAATAATTTTGATTTAATAATATTTTGGTTCGTGTAAAAATAAATATTTAAATTTAAAAAATAAAAAAATATATTAAATATTTAATCAAGTAGGGGTTGAACTAAAAAATGATAAGTTTGTCTTCTCAAATTTTTTGTCTAATTACAATTTAAGTCATTATAACTTTAAATATTAGACAAATTAGAAATTGTTTTTTAAATTTTGAGTTTTTTTTAATTTATGTTTAATCAATTAGGGGTTGAACTAAAAAATGATAAGTTTGTCTTATCAAATTTTTTGTCTAATTACAATTTAAGTCATTATAACTTTAAATATTAGACAAATTAGAAATTATTTTTTAAATTTTGAGTTTTTTTTAATTTATGGTGAATACAAGGTAATATATGTACAAAGACTTTCAACTATTTAACAATGTACGCTCATACCCCTAAATACATGCTTAAACTCGGGACCTCAAGGATAACAACAATCCCTTAATCACTAAGGTCGCTTGGTTCATGTAGAATTTCGAGTTTAAATACATAATGAGTATTTATATTTTCTTAAATAATCTTATATTTCGGCTCGATAATTCTTGCTCCGTCGCTGGTTAAACTCGTAATGAATTTGCTCGATAATCACCCCCAAAACCAACAATAATTTGAAAGATCAAAGATTTAAGCAGTTCCTTTTTCATTTAAAACAGTAGAACAGTTATTGGTTGTCGTATAATGAAGCAACCATAGAGCAAAATCACCAGCCAATTCTCTTACAAAGCTTATAGCCAGATAAGATAGCACAGATTGCCATAACTATAAATGTTGCGAAGGCCATGCTGGTCGATACTACGGCTCCCTTCCGAAGAGGTGTGCCTCGCTCAACCTCTCCAATGATCGGCACCGCCACTGAAGCCGATGAGATGAGAAGGTAACCCACCAACTGTTTACAAAGCAACCCCATACATTAGCTACAGTGGCGAAGAAAAAACAGTAAAGATAGATGGTGTTATTATGACGGGGGGTTGCACTAGCCTGGTCGAGGACGAAGCTTACGTAGTCTGAGGCCATATCTGAGATCAGAATGCCTCTGTGAGCAATGTCACAAACACCTTTAAACAGTTGGAAAGCTGTGTATAGGAAAGCTATACTGGCTACGATGAAGTAGTATCTTCACCGAGACAATCAAAAAACAATATCCGGTGATCTGAAATATTATGTTGTAATCTTGTAAATAATTAAAGGCAAAAATTATGTTTTGCTTACATCAATTCTGGGTACTCGGTGAAGCTAGGAGATGGTTGGTGTTTCTTCTTTGTAGAAGGCGCAGCGAGTATAAGAGCCGAGATGAAGGAGAAGAGAAGCACCGAGAACCGGAGTAGGAGAGTCGAGTGATGATGTATGGAAGATCTGGAGCTCCACCCAGTAGAAGCCACCGAGAAAGAGAACGGTGAAGGGGTTGGAAATGGCTGCTGCTGAATCTGAGAATTGAATGCCACAGGTGAATCAGCAGGCGTGATCCTACAACCAATCGTCAAAACATATTCTCTTTCATCTTTCACTGATTCCTTTATCTGCTCCATTCTTCAGTTGATTTGTTCTGGTTAATATTGGGGACTCTCTGATTTGTTTCGGAGTTGGGTTTTTGTGAATTTGGAGATCCTTCACAAACAATAAGTTGTTGACTTGTTTCTGGGATTTTGATGGGAAATTTCCTGTTGGTCATGGTTGGTAGCGAGCAGCGCATGCCTAGTGAGACAAACAAGCTTACATAAGCTTGTTAAATAGATAAGATTGATGTTTAATGGCTGAAAGGGATTTGCATTGGTCAATTTAAAACCTTATGTTTAAATCCAAATGATAAAATATATCACACTTACAAAGACTTCTGCATGTAATCCAAAATCTTTGCACGTAATCAAAATTTTAGTAATTACTAAAGGTTAAACGCATCATGATTCGGTTTGTATCCATGCAAAAAGGTATATCGATGTGGGAATTTGATGCGGTTATTGATGATATTTCGTCCATGCTATATGAATGCTGTAATGTTTGTTTCACCCGTATGTTCTAAGAATATGTGATTTTCGAACTTATTGAGTAATTTCGGTAGTTAAAAATAGTGTTGTTTTCTTTTAAGGTCTTAAATTCGAATAATTGTATCTACAAGATGTGTGTGCGTTGTTAATGACTAAATAAGATTATTAACATATAATAATCTTATAATCACCTTAGACTATTAAAAAAAGAATGTGTGATATTGTACATTTTGACTTCTGATTTTAATTTTAGTCAATTCAACCGGTTTTAGTACCAAAACAACTGCTCCTAGTCGCGGTACCACCTGGGAACTGCAGGCAGCTTGACCACAACCAAGTTGAGAATTTCTTTCGAGAGTCATGAAATCATCCTAAAACTTTCAAATTTCTTAAACTCTGATCTACGCCATCCACTGTCAAATAGAATCTGTCTCGGGTTATGTACTTCCTCTCACCAAAACATTTTCTCTATTGCTTGCATCATCGAATGAAGCCCCTAATATTCGAGAGGCCCCAATCCAGAAATGAGTTTTTTTTTCGGTTAATTGAGTGGCTCGTTTATAACCTTTTGAAATCGAATAACCTATTTATAATTTTATTAATAATTGGTTGATATGCAGAGGCGGGGTTAGGCATGATCAACGTGCGCGATGGAACAGAACCCCAGAATAGTAAGGGTCCCAAAAAATTAGATTTATTACTATTGTTATAATAAAAAAACAAACAAAATATTATGGATCAGTGGTAAAATTTTTGGGTCCAAAACCACATAACCTGCGGTCGAATCTTATAAAGGTTTTCTAGTTAATAAAGTCATTTTTTTTAAAAAAATTGAGATTTAAGGGATTTTTTTTAAGAATTTGCACAAAGCCTCTAACGTCCTAACCCCGGCCATGTTGACATATAATGTAATTTACTCGATAAGAAAATGATAAAAAGAAAATGTTTACCAACAACACCTTCTAATGACCGTTTTTTTTTTTTTTTTGCATATAATTGTTGGTAGCTTGTGTTTTGACAGTGACTTTTTATTCAGTTTAAAGCTCAAATGAAAGACCCGGGTGCGCTCTAGATGGTGTGGGGATTGCAGAGTTTAGGGAATTCATTATGGAAGCAGAGCTTATTGGCATGCCTCTATGTGATAAGAAATTTTCATGGTACGGTCCTGGAATGAGAGAAGCGGTTGCTTGTTTCTTGTTTGTGCAGCAACGTTGTTGATTTGGTTGATGAGAAACCATTCTGCTTTTAATAATAAGGATTGGAAATTTCTCAAGTTAAAATTATGGCCTTATCTTCATTAAGATTTCCAAGTGATCAAGTAGCCGCCTCTACCTTCTATATAAAGTATAAACCCTATTCCCAATCCAACAAATCCCCACCTAAGAGCCAACAATGAGCTACTAACCATTCACTAAGCTCCCTCTTCTTCTTCTTCACCATCCTTTTTCATTTCCGCCAATGCAGCGCTCTTTGAGATCCGACACGAGTGCTCCTATACTGTGTGGGCAGCAGCCTCTCCCGGTGGTGGTCGTCGCTTAGACCCGTTTCAAAGTTGGACAATCAACGTGCCTGCTGGCACGGCCATGGCTCGTATCTGGGGTCGAACCAATTGTAATTTCGATAGCAGTGGTAGGGGCCGTTGCCAAACCGGTGACTGTGGTGGACTCCTACAGTGCCGGGGTTGGGGTGCTCCTCCGAATACCCTGGCCGAATATGAACTTAATCAATTCCAAAACTTGGATTTCTACGATATTTCCCTAGTTGATGGTTTCAACATCCCCATGGTGTTTGGTCCGACTAGCTGGGGTTGTCACAATATCCGGTGCACTGCAGACATCAACGGGCAGTGTCCGAGTGTAGGCTCCCGGTGGGTGCAACAACCCATGCACAGTGTTTAAGACCAATGAATACTGTTGCACTCAAGGTCCTGGAAGCTGTAATGCGACGGATTTCTCGAGGTTTTTCAAGATGCGGTGCCCTGATTCATACAGTTACCCACAGGATGATCCTACGAGCACCTTTAATTACCCTGGTGGTGCCAATTACAGAGTTGTATTTGCCCTAGAGGCTCGACTCATCTGGAGATGGTTGGAAGCAAGAGCCGTGAAGAGTAAAGGGATTGTATTTGGCCTTTGATTTCAAATGATGATGAACCTGTTGTTGTGTTTATACGTACTTGTTTTGTTTTATGTTGGATGTGTGTTTGCTTGATGCAAAAGCAAAAAATAAAGTTTATGATGACTCGGACATCGCCATTGAATACTGTATTAATAGGGTTTCAATGTAACAAGCTATTGCTTTCATGGAAATTTCAAAGTCATACGTATTACGTGGCACATACGCATACTGTATAGGTTTATATATATATATTCTCTTTGTCTTCGCTCGTCTTTCGAGATCTAACCTAACTATAAATCGGATCACGTAATATAAAGTTTGAAGACGTTCTTAACGTTTTTTTTACTCGAAGGTGTTCAAGCTGAATACTACTTTCTTGTGGTGCAATGTTTCCATGCACATATTGTCCAGTCAAACTAGCTATCGTTTATATTTCAATAGCTTATTACACACTATTTAGAGTTAATTATATCATATTTTTCTAAACTATGATTCTCATTTTAAACTGGTCTTTAAATTTTTAAATGTTCTATTTTTATTCCTAAATTATGACTCTCATTTTAGATTAATCCCCATATTTTTTTCCATCCTCATGCTATGACTCTCATTCTAAATTAGCCCCAAAACTTTTGAATCTTCTAAATTCATCTTAATATGTAAACCATAGCTATTTAAAAAATTTAGGAATTAATATTTTTTATTAAGCCAAAGGTAATTAAAAAATAGTATGCTTAGTACTATTAACCATTTGATAATGAACGCTCAATCACCTTCGCAGTCGTTGGTGCATGAACTCGTGATATCTAAGAACAACAACAATTCCTTTAACCATTAAGATAAGTTGATTCGTGCATTTAAAAATTAATTTAAAATAAAAATCATAATAATCCTTTATTTATAGTGAAGTTGATAGTTTGACGTTTAAGAGAAGGCATAATGGTTTAACTTTAAGTGGTTATTTTATTTTAATATATATTTTAATTTTTTTAGAATCTAAATTTTAATTTTTTTATTAAATTAAATTGAACTAAGGAAAAAAATGGTAAGAGTCATCAAAGTTAATATCAATTCAAAAAATATCAATTATGTTGTCTTTTTTCAATAGTAACCTTAATTAATTATATTTTTATTAATGTTGAGATTAATTATATTATTATTTTTAGATAAAAATTAAAAAGAAGTCCATAAATCTTGAGAAAGATTAATCTTTGAACCCACAAAGCATGAGAAAGGCCAGAGTTTCTAACGCCAACAAATCTAGAGAAAGCCTATAATCTCTAAGCCCAAAAATCCCCAGAAATGTTGGAGTTTGACCTTCAGAAAGGCCATAATCTCTACCGCCCAGTGCCCACAAATCTTGAAATAAGTTAAAGGCTTAATGCCCACAAAACCTAAGGAAGGTCGAAGTCGATGCTACCCACAAATCCTAAGCTTTGATATTAAAAAACATTAATTTAATTTTCTAAAACACAGTGAGAAACATATATTATTATTTAACCATGGATATATGATTTATTAATTGAATAATTTAAATCAAATACTATAAAAATTTATTATGAGAATAATTTTTTAACTAAGTTTTAATATTTATATTGATTATTCCTGTATGTGTATGTATATTTGAATATTTCAATTTTTAGATTATGGGAATTATAGGATATTTTCGAGGGTGATTGAATGTGAAAACCGATTTGTAGTGAAGATAGCGAACAACAATTGCAAGTTACAATCCACCTAAGAGCATGACGGAAATCCAATAAAGACAGCGGGATGGTCCGAATTCTAAATCCCATGCACCAATGTCCGTGATTGCGACGGCCATCTACCTCGTACTCAGAGGCATCCCCACTGCACATGCATAGATTTCATAATTTGTCTGCTTACTATAATTTGTAATGAATATGATCATACACATTTAAGTTATAAATACGATATATTTAATGTACACAATAAGATTGACATAGAAAAATAGAATCTAAAATAGAATTAAAACAATATCTTTTACACTTATATATAAGTATAATATTAATGTCTCAAATCTAATAGTAGTCAATATCGGACAAAAGAATAAAATTAATACAATTAAAGAATTTCGAAGATAAAATTGATACAATTAAAAAAGTTAGATAAAATTATATACATAAAATGACTACTTAAATACTAAATAAACAAAAAATACATTTTTTATTAAAAAAAAAAAGGAGTCAAAGGGTTGTTCAAAACATAATCAACATGATTAAAGAGTCCTAAATCAATTGTCCTAACACTGATATATATCAGTGACTCGATTAATATCATTAACAATTGAGTAATTATTTTAATACAAATCGATAATATTAATAATGCTAACACTGATATATATCAGTGACTCGATTAATATCATTAACAATTGAGTAATTATTTTAATACAAATCGATAATATTAATAATGGTAATCTAATTTTTAGACTTTTGTAGTAAAAAAATTTACTAATGACTATTGGTGTAATTTAGCTTAAT